GCGGGGCCAGGACACTGGAAGCCCCTCCCACTGTTGCCCCCCCCCCCCCAAGCACCAAGAATACAGTGCATCACCTGCCCCAGCCTGTGAGTTCCTATCTATACCTGGTGGCTAATAGCCACCGATGGACCTCTGCTCCATATGCTTATCCAGTTCCCTCTTGAAGTTGTCCTTGGCCTCGGCATGGATCTTCTTGTCCATCACAAGGTCACGGAGGAAATCTCACCTTCTGGTGACTTTTCGCCCTCTCTAAAACAAGTGAATCAGCCCTGCTTCAAAAGGGGTCTCCCTCAAAATTATGACATTTCTCTGAAGGTCTTGCTCAGAGGCTCTGTGTTGGGATTTCTCTACCATGGGTATTTGATGAAGGGCCGTCTCAGAGCAGTGGTCTGCAGCCCTTTTGGGACTATTAGCACCTTTGGAATTCTGACACAGGGCAGCAGGCGCAACCACAAAATGGCTGCCACAGGAGCCGGGACCAACCACAAAATGGCTGCCACAGGAGGTGGAGCGAGCTACAAAATGTCAGGGAGCGAGGTGATCCATAACGCCAAAAGTTACTCTTCAGCATATCATTCAGAAGCTGTTTAGCAGGATGGACTTTAATCAGCTGATGTGATCTCCAGTGGCTAGTCAGAAACTCTGCTGGGCAACAGCCCCACTTGGCCTGCCCCCTTTCTAAAAAACAACAACACTTGGTGGGCACCAGGAAACATGGTGGCAGGTGCTGTGGTGCCCACGGGCCCTATGTTGGGGACTTCTGTCTTAGAGGCAACCTGTGCTTGGCATACTTTGCTCACTGCTGCTGCACGCCTGGCCCGTTGGACTTTCTACTTCAGACACTGAGAGGATATGTTTCCCCAGACTTTTGAGTTTGTTGGTGGGAGTTTTGTTCTCTTTTTAATACTGTTTACTTGTTCTTATGGGGTTTTTTAGAGTGACAAGAGTTAGGTGCTATTTTAGTTATTGGTTTTATTTGTGTTTTTATTGCAAGCTTCCTCAGAAACCTAAATGATGAGGGCCTTAACTATATAGGTCCGCCCTGTGTCTGGCCCAGGCTTTCTCAAATGAGACACACGCTGGAAGTTCCCTGTTTATACTGAATGCTCATGAATTCTTGTGCGGGGGGGGGGGCAGGGCTGACGGTGATGGACTGTGAGGGGGGCTTTGGAGGGAGAACTCTATGGGCATTGTCCCCCGGGGGGGGGGCAGGGCTGACAGTGATGGACTGTGAGGGGGGCTTTGGAGGGAGAACTCTATGGGCATTGTCCCCCACTGAGGTACCCTGTCTTCCACAGGCACCACCCTCAAATCTCCAGGAGTTTCCCAGCCTGCATCTGGCTATCCTACCCCCATCCCTCGCCAGTGGCCAGGGGGGATGTGGCAGCCCAAGCTCATGGTCTCAGCGGGCCAATGGGGACAGACACAACCTGGGCCTTTCCAGGAAATCCTGACAGGCCCAGTGGGGAGAAGGGCAGGAGGAGAACCTGGGTCAGAGCTAGAGAGCCAGGGGAGGAGTCAAGGCCCACTGAAAGAAGGAGGAGGGGCCTATGTTTGTCAGGGCCCTCCCACTTGGCCAGGTAGGGTTGCCATGGGGGTGTGGCCTAATATGCTAATGAGCTGGTCTCAGGGTGTGGCCTTATATGCTAATGAGTTTCTGCTGTTGGTGTGGCCTATTATGCTAATGAGTTCCTGCTGGGCTTTTTCTACAAAAAAAGCCCTGAATCAGACCATTGGTCTATCGCAGTCAGTATGTCTACTCAGACCGGCAGCAGCTCTCCAAGGTCTCAGGCAGAGGTCTTTCACATCACCTTCTTCCTCATCCCTTTAACTGGAGATGCCAGGGATTGAACCGGGGACCTTCTGCAGGCCAAGCAGGCCCTCGCGGGTCTCAAAGTGCTAAACTACTGACCTTCCACAGCCTGCAGTTCAGCGTCTTAACCACTTGAGCCACCACAGCTCCAGATACAGGTTGGGAAATGTCTGGGGATTTGGGGATGGAGTCTGGGGAGGGCAGGGACCTCAGTGGAGTACAATGCCACAGAGTCTACCCTCCAAAGCATCAGAGAATTTAACTTTTAGAATTTCGTTGTTCTTTGGAGAATTTTGTTGGGGGGTTTCTTGAAGAATATATGAGCATATGAAGCTGCCTTGTACTGAATTGGACCATCGGTCCATCGCAGTCAGTATGTCTACTCAGACCGGCAGCAGCTCTCCAAGGTCTCAGGCAGAGGTCTTTCACATCACCTTCTTCCTCATCCCTTTAACTGGAGATGCCAGGGATTGAACCGGGGACCTTCTGCAGGCCAAGCAGAGGCTCTACCCCTGAGCCACAGCCCCTCCCCTATAAGAAGCTGAAATGAATGAATGAACCTTGTTGCCTTAAAATCTTTATTGTTGCTTAGCTGAAATAAAGTCGTTCTATTTGGAATGCACCTGCTTCCTTTCACGTGAGGTTTTGTTTCTTTTACACCAAGGATAAAAAAATCCCTCGCGATTCAACAGTTAGCTGGGGAGCTAACAGGTTCACCAGGGAGGAGGAGCGACGAGGTGGAACAGCCCCTCTCTTCCCTGTTCTGAGGCCTAGCAGGCCTTCTGGGAAGGGAGAACACCCCCTAGGGGACCACTGCTTAGCACCAGAGCACGGGCAAGCTCGTATTAACGTATCGCTAGTTTCGCAGGGGTCAGGTAGAAAATGAGTGAAACTAAACGCATCTTCCAACCCTCTCTCACCTTGGTCTCTTGCTGCTGGCCCCTCAGGAAATCCTCTGCTAGGACTACCGCATGAGAAGAAGCCTGAGGGCAGCAGCCCCTGAGCCAGCTCTGGATTTCATGAGGCAGGATGGCCAGAAACTGCTCCAGGATCACCAGCTCCAGAATCTGCTCTTTGGTGTGCCTCTCGGGCCTCAGCCATTGGTGGCAAAGCTCCTGGAGTCGCCCGCAGACCACGCGGGGTCCCTCAGCCTCCCGGTAGTTCAGTTGCCGGAAGCGCTGCCGCTGCGTCTCTGCATCGAGGGCCTCCTTTCTCATTGTCTCTTCGATCCCTGTCCCGTTTCCTCCATTGCACGGATTGCTCAAGGCCTGCAGGTCGCCTCCGTCGTCCTCCACTAGGAGCTGGGTACTTCCTTTCCCTCCAGGCCACTGGCCGTTATTGGAGATTACCTCAGATGAGGTCCTTGTGTTGTCCGATGCCAAAGTTTTCGACTGCTGTGGGGTTTCCTGCCCAGGAGAAAGGGGCTGCACAGCCTTCAAGACCTCCTGCCACTGGGCTTCCCAGCACTGGGCCAACCCTTCCTCGGGTCCTTGAGTCAACTTCTGGGGGGCCACACAGCCTAGAAACTCCCCTATAGTCCCCACCTGGGTGAGACGAGGGATCATGCTTTCCTCTTCAGGAGGCCTCACTTGGGGTGGCCCCACGATTTTCATGCCAGAGTTCACTCCCTGTTGTAGAACAATCTGGAAAGGCCAATTCAAGGCGGCCATTTTGTCTGCCAAAGCTTAAGGGGAGGCCACTTCACACAGGGAGGAGGAGGGGCCTTCTTTTTAAGCTTGCAAGTCCATGAGAGCAAAGGTTCTTAAATGTTATTGTAGCGAGTCCCTCAAGATTAACAGCAACAAACAGACTAAATGGAGACAAAGTTTTGAACTCTCTTATCCAAGGTGGACCTTCAAGGGTTTACCACCAGAGGGCAACAGGGAGGAACACGTGATTCTCCGAACAACCAATCACACCTCTTTATATAGGCATGTCTCACACTTTTGACAAGCCCAGTTCGTTTGATAGACACAGCAGATTCTGAAGGCATTCAGTCAAAGAAGTAGTTTTTGCAGAAATTCAACAGACAGGAGCTTCTTTTCCCTGAAAGAAAGAAATACAAACGGCAGATGCCTGAAGAAAGGAAGCCTTAATTCTTGAAAGCTTATACCCTGAAAAACGTGTCTAAGGTGCTGTTGAACTCGAATGCAGCTCATGGTTGGCTACCCTCCTGAAACTATCACAAGGAAACTGTTTCAAAGCTTTTCATAAAAAAACCCCTTTAAACAACAACAAAACAACTTACGGTGGAAAAAAATGCACAACAGGGCAGAGGCTGAACTAGAACTCACATCCCAGCTCTAACATTTTAGTTTTCTACAAGCAGAGAATCTTTTTTGTACGGAGGTGCCATTGGTCATATGAGCATACACAAAGCTGCCTTCTACCTGTCCTGTCCGGTCTACTCTATCCGGTGGCTACTCTCTAGGGACTCAGTCTGAGATCTTTCTCACCTCCTACAACTGTTTAATTGGAGATGCTGGGGTTGAACCTGGGACCTACTGGATTCCAGGCAGATGCCCTGCCACTCAGGCATGGCCCATTCCTAGCTGTCTTGAAGAAGAAGGAGGAGGAGGAGACTGGATTTATGCTTCGCCCTTCACTCGAAGTCTCAGAGCAACTTACGAACTTCCCCTCCCAAGGTAGGTGGGGCTGAGAGGGCTCTTTCGAGGACTGCTCTTGAGAGAACAACTCTGACAGAACTATGGCTTGCCCAAGGTCATCCAGCAGCTGCAAGTGGAGGAGTGGGGAATCAAACCTGGGTCTCCTAGATTAGAGTCCATGCAGTTAACCACTGCACCAAACTGGCTCTCTACTTAGGCTTTTGGCCTACCAAGGTTAAGTCTCGTCTACTCAGACTGGCAGCTGCTCTCTAGGGTCTCAGGCTAGGGTTGCCATCCCCCTGGTCGCCGCGGGGGTTCCCCTGATTTCGTGGGCCCCAATCCACCGCCGGCCAGCAGGGAAGCACCCCCCCCAAAAAAGTGCCCTTCTGCGGCGCCGGCACAATGACATCACCCGGAAGTGACATCATCACATTGCTGACGTCGGGAAGCCACGGTCTAGGTTTTGGGCAAACTCTATGGTTTTGAGGGCAAACTCTATGGTTTTTTTGCCCAAATCCTAGCGCGTCGCCCCCAGAAGATATCCTGACTGTGCCCAGGAGACCCCACCCATTCACCGGCAGCCAGATAGGACCTGGCCAACCCTATCTCAGGTAGAGGTCTTTCATATCACTTTGTCATCCAATCCTTTTCAATGGCGATAACAGGGGCTGAACTAGAGAACTAGAGCGCCAAGCAGGTAGTCTACCACTGATGTGATCCTGGCACTGGTACTTGGAGGTTGACAGCCTCTGAACATGGAGGTTCATTTTAATCACCCCGGCTAGTAGCAACTGATAGCCCTGTCCTCCTGTTTCATTCCATATTAATGGTCAACACGGTAGCCTCCAGAACACAACTATACCTTCTTACTATGAATTAGAGACGGCATGTACAACAACATTTAGAGTGTATGATGATGCTCTGGGAGACCTGAGTTCACGTCCTCACGCTACCATGAAACATGCTAGGTAACCTTGGGCTAATTATTCTCTCTTAAATTACTCTAAATGTTTCCCTTGCTCAAAAGCCAGTCGAATCCGACTCTAGGGGGCAGTGGTCCTCTCCATTTCCAAGCTGAAGAGCCAGCGCTGTCCGAAGACTTCTCTGTGGTCATGTGGCCAGCATGACTAAATGCCGAGGCACATGGAACGCTGTTACCTTCCCGCCAATACCTATTTATCTACTTGCAATTTCTTGCTTTCAGACTGCTAGGTTGGCAGGAGCTGGGGCCAGAGGCGGGAGCTCACTCCGTCACACGGCAATAGGGTCTCGAACTGCCAAGCTACTGACCTTCTACCTCACCAGTAAAACAGAGGAAGAGAGACCAATGTATACTGCCAAAGCACAAGTTAAAAATGTAATAGAGAGGTGGGTGATCTTAATTTGCACTTCTGTGCCCATTCAACCTTTGTTTGTTTCAACTACTAAAATTTCTTGTGGTCAGAAA